AAGAGCGGGGAAAAAAACACCAACAAAACCTTGGAAAAGCCTGACCAATGACTGACACCCATCATAAACAGTTAATAAAATATCTCTGTGCATGAATTAAATCATGGTGAAGTATTATATTTCTTATATATGTGTAGTAGTGGCATGCCAATAGAGATGTCCATGCTGGCACTTCTCTTTAAAGGCATTTACTATGCTCCTGGGGAGGTGGGAAGCTTGGGGGATATAAATCCCTTTTTAGAAGCTGCTAAAAGCCCAACTGTTGATGAACTGGAGCCAAGTGGCAACTTGGCTTGCAAAAACCAGGATGCCTGGACCTTAGGGAAGCCACCAAGAAAGCACTTCAAGAGAAACAAGGTGGTTGTGGTAGAGGTGGATGCTCGATATCAGCAGACTTGGTGGATGTGCAGTAGTTTTCCAAACATGACACTGCTATTAAGTACAGCTTAAGTATGGTGCTAGACATATTACACAAGCATGTCTCTGCCATTGGTCTAAAAGGCAAAATGGGTTCTGATACAGCTGGGGCTTTTAAAGCCATTTTTATCAGGCAGTGCATGCGTCAGAAATTACAGACTGATGGGGGGAAGATTTTATTTTTTTTTTTTAACCAGCCTTTATACTGCTTTAACAGCTTATTTAATGTTCACCATCTTGTTACTAGCAGTGAAGCAAAAGCCTCCACTGCAGAGTGTTTTAACAGGTTGCTTAAAACTAAGACGTGGAGATATTTCAGTGTGCAGTGCTTTTTGCTACATCGATGAGTTACCAGGTTTTATAAAGGACTATATCCATAGCTTTCACAGAGCTATCACAGCCACGCCTATGTATGTGATCCCTTTAAACTCTGTGAGGGTTTGGAAAATCAAATCCAAGGATTGATTTAAAATTAAAGAATATGTGCCTTTGCTCAAAAAGGCAGACCATATCACAGTGTTTATAACAAAAGAGATTTGAGAAAGGTTATCATCAGATGTTCATGAGTGAAATCTTTTTAATAGCTGAAACTGTGGGAAGGGAGCAAGTACCCACCCGTGCAGTTTAATAGGCTATGCTCATGAAGCAATGGAGGGGACATTTTACACTAAAGAATTTAGAAAAGTGAATCCCAGTGAGGACAGAACCTACAAAATTGACAAAATTATTGCTGTGAAAGTGAAAATAAGAAAGAAACAGCAGCCCAAGTCCAGGACATGTAGTGATTGGAGTTTGAGTGGGGGTAAAATAAGGATGGCAGATGGCAGTTTCTACCTTATACTAGCCAACAATCCCAGCACCAGAATTTTCCCACAAAACATCTCTAACTTCACCATAGACTTGGTGAGGCCCCTGGAGCTCTCCAGCAAGTAGGAGGTGAGGCTGGCAAAAAATACAATACCTGTGCAGAAGGAATAACCTCAGTGAAGACAGCACCTTTGAAATAACAAGGTAAGACATGGCTGGGTAATATATGGGAGTATACTTCACAGAAACTGTATTATTACCATCCCTCATGCTGTTGATAGAATGTATGAACCATCTTACTAACACCCACAATAGAGCTTCAGACATTGACTCTCCAGCTGTTGCCCTGGCTTGTGATCCTGTCATAAAGAAAACAGCATAAAATGGATGAAAATCCTTACCTTTATCTCTTGTAATGCTATTCATAAATGTATTGTGTTAAATGAAACTTAAAACCCAACTGGAAGTTTGTGTGTGTGTGTGTTCTTCAACTATTCCCCCAATTATGTTTTTTAAATGGGCAATATAGACATTCAAGTTGGAAGTTTTTATGATGATTTATGTATTACACTAAATACTACAGGGTGAGGCATTGGTCTTTTTATGTAGCTTTCTTTTCTAACATGATGTGTGTGGTGCTTCTGAGTTATCCTCATTCACCTTTAATTATTCCAAGAGATCCTGGTTTGCTGCCTTACCAATGACAGAACATGGGACATTCAGCACAGTCAGGGCATTAGTAAAAACATTCCAATCTTTAGGTATTCTCAAGCTTAAGGGGACTTTGGGCAAACTCTTGGGGGTTGCTACTTTGGCCAGACGCAGGGCGCTCTGTGCACATGCAGGGAAA